CTATATTTGGTGAAATAGCAAAACATGCACTTGATTGTTCAACAGTTGAATTGATGGGACATGTTGGAGAGGTATTTCTTAACTTTTTCTTCAAAACTTAATTTTTATTATAATGAGTTATTTAAAAAATAATTGGGTTTTTTATTAATTATGTAAACCTATTCAAAATTTATTTTGTAAGAAAATCGACCATATGTTAAAAGCGTTGTAGAGAAATTATCAAAAGAAAATTGGAAGATTCAAGTTTATGTAGATCCAGAAAAACTAAAGGAGAAAAAATATAAACAGTTTAATGTCCTTTCTATTGAAGCTGTGCAAGATTAGGAAAATATTTAATCGTTATCTTAGAATCAAAATTATCTCAAACAGTTTTCATAAAATTATGAGCAATGTTTATTTATAGGACCATGCTATAGATTCTATTAATACTCTTTTTTTAATATATCACAATGTGTAATTATTTATCAATTACATAAACATTACATCATTAGTTATTTAATTAACCAAAAAAAATTACATCTTTATTAATAAAAATTTAATTCTTAACCAAAAAAATTATATATAAACTAAGCAAATGTGTATTGCACGTTGCTTAAACCTAGTATAAATATAAATACATATATGTATACACGTCACAAAGTTATAGTTAAACTCGACGACGTGTAAAAAGTGATATATTGTTTACTCTAGACTGCATAGAAACAACAATGGAAAAAGTTATACACCAATTAAATACTTAGACATTGTATTAAAAAATATAATTTGATTATATATGTTGAATAATTAAATATTAAAGTACACAATTAAGTTAATTTTTAGTTCAACTCGACAAGAAAATTAATTCTTGATTGAAGCGCGCAACACAGTCCATAATCAAATGTAATTCCTAATCAAATTTGTCAAATGTTTCGGTCAAAAGTTTCCAAAAAATTTCGAATTTCATTCAACAATTAGAAAAGTTTTATTGAGTTTCCTAAACGTCTCTCTCTCTCTCTCTCTCTCCAACGTTAACAAAAATATATTTTAGTGTCAATCAAATGTACACTTTCTTTTTTTATTTTATCGGTACCTTGCATACTCTTTCTTGATATAATGGTTGATAGTATGTGTTGACAAGTGTTGATTGAAAATTAAAATTATAAAAAATTTAAACTGTCGAATAATGTGTTGTCACCAAACACGATATAAAGAAAGATGTAAACGATTGTAGAATGTTGTGACGAAAAACCCTAGCTAACTAGGCGCACACACTGTATGTAAAAAGAGAACAGAAAATAAGGTATAGGCCATAGTTGAGGTGCAGAATATAGGCAAAGTGAAGGACGTACAGTTTTGTTTAATTTCACGTACTGGTTTTATGTATATATTTGTCAGTAACTGATGAAGCTGACTTAGATGGGACACTGTGACAGTGAGAAGAGTTCTGAAACTCTATTTAATAACTGTCCTTATCCAACATCAATCCCAAAGTCATTGATGCAAAAGGAAGATTAGAGTTAGAATGGTAAAAGTAATTAAAGTTTTGAGTTAGATTTGTTTAATGTAATAGACGGATAAGACACAAATTAAAATCATGTTACTCACGTGAAAACTCATCCTTAAATCGACTTATAAGGGACTGGTAAGTAGGGTCATAAAACTGAATAATCATACGTTTCAAGAATCATTGCTGATTAGGGACTTCAAATTTCTTAGAGACCATATCTTTAAAACAGACACTAACAGTTCATGATATATTTATTCATTCAAAACTGACTCAACAAGTCATAGCTGACATTGATAAATCATGTCTTTCGTGACTGATGTGGGACCTAAAAATTAATACATTTTATCCATTCAAACATATCATGCTTTCACAGACACTAACGAGTCATGCCTTCCACGATTGATGTGAGACTTAAAATTTATTGCAATTTATCCGTTCAAAATCAACACTCAGGACATCGAATTTTTCACGTGAGCGACTTCTGATAATCAACTTTCATGCCTTCTATGAGGTAAAATAGTTGCAATCTACCCATTCAAAACTAACACCCATGACGTCCTATTTTTCATGTGACTTCGGAGAATCTTATTCTACTGGAAGTAGTCCCACACCGTCTTGTCCACTAAGGTTCAAAATGAAGACGGCTTCTTAGAAGTCGCACCTAAAAAATCGACTTCTAAAGAAAGACTATAAATTGATGAGATATTAGTTCCATATATACAAACATCGTAAAACTCAGATAGTATCTCATAATAAGCATTAATTCACTAATTATTTCTAATCATAGAGAACTAAATTATGGAAAAACACTGCTAAAGTATGTTCTAATTTCCACATTGATTGACTACACAACATTTTTTGATTTATAAACTTTTGAAAATTAGTCTTTAACTAAAATCTATTTTAACAAGAAAGAAACTTTAAAACCTACTTAGCCACAAATTTCCCAACTCTTTTCAGTTTGATTCACATAAAAAAACATAGAACAAACTTCCCAAAGTTCACATCTTGATTCAGCAATGGAAAAATAATAAATATGAAAAATATAGGATAAGTCTGCATAATTTTTGGTATATATTCCTACAGTATCTTCTATTCTTCAATTCTTCTGACAGCTTTTACAAGGATACCTTTTGATTTTTCGTCTGCTAGCTATGGAAGTGCACTGTACTGATTCAAATTGCTCCATACCATTCCATTCCAGTTGCTGGTATTGCTTTCAATTGTATTGCTAGTACTGTTGGAAGCCGGAGGAGTTCTAGTAGTACCTTGTGCATAAGTGCTGTCAAAATACCATTCGGTCGATAAGTTTCCAATTGGAGTCTCAGTCCCCTCCTTTATTGAACTTCCAATTCCACAAGCTTCTGGTTTTGAAATTTCCAAATTCTGGGACAAAATGGGCTGGGGACTCTGAATCTGATTAGGTTCGAGAATTGCCAATCTTTCTCTTTGTAACTTCCAGTGCAGCTTTTGGTTCATTGAACTTAAGGACTCAATAGAATTTGCAAGATTGCTCTCAAAATTCAACGATGAGCCCATTTCTTGAATCCCTTGAATGCCTTCTCCTTGTTTGAGTGAAGAAGATAATGGAAAATTAAATCCCATTAGATGTGAACTTCCCAAAAAATCAAGATTAAAACAAGGGTTTGGTGCAATTTCACCAGAAGAATTTGGCAGGCCTCTAAAAGATGATGAAAACTGGTTGAAAAGAACAGTATTTGGAGGGTGAATTCTTGGCAAGTTTAGCCCGCCAAGCTGAAAATCCATGGCTGGTGAAAAACCCTGAAAAAAATTCAACTTTGAACCAATATCAGATGATCCACTAGAATCCTTTGAATCCCCAAAAAGCCTAGAACAAGACTTCATCTTCTTGTTCTTCTTGCAGCCACCGCCTATTGGAACATTGCGCAAGGCACCGCCTTTAGTCCAGTACCTTCTACAAGTCTTGCAAAAATGCCTTGGCTGTGAAAGGTTATAGTTGTTGTAATAGCAGAACTTTGTGTTAGATGAATCACACCTAGGGCACTTGAGGGCTGGTTCTTGAGGCCTTGACGCCGCATTTCTCTGGCTGCCGGAGCCATGGCTTTCATCTTTTCCGGCTACCTTTTCAACCAAGCTATCTGGTGACATCCTGAGAAATTAAACACACTATAACCCTATTTCACAAGATTTTATTTATATCAAACAGTTGAAGGAACGGAGAAATTTAGTTGTTAGAACTGTCAAAATAGTAAAAATTCATTGGTTTCATGCATGGATTTGATAGATGTGAAGATGTTGATGGGCTCCCTGTGGTCTTCATCAACTAAAGAACAGGTTTTCTTTTGTGTATATAAAAGCTGTATTTGGGGATTAGATCTGATAGAATAAGGAAAGGTGAATGGGAATTTTACATAAAGTGAGAAAGGAGAGGAGAAAAAAGCAAGCAATGACCTAAAATCAGTCAGAATGGAGAGATCCATAGGTACCTGAAAGATAATAAGTGTGTGTTTGATGCACATTTTTTAGCAGAGAATGCATTTTTTTTGTGATATGATGGTGAATATGTAGTTGAAAAAGAATGAAAAATTATTGATGTAATGAAAAATATTATTTTATTGAAAAATGTGTGGTTGAAAATGAGTAAAAGAATAAGAATGAAAATAAAAATGTGGCTCAAACAGGACAAAACAACCATGCTATGCTGCCAAGGAAGGCTCCCTGACAGCACACTCACAATTCGGGGGGCCGGGGTGGAGCTCTTTTTTAGAATTTTTTATTCACGCAGATCCCATACACATGTGATTATCGGTCAAGAAGGTTGTCAAACTCTTTGTGATAGAGGAGCTTAATTGATAAGAAAATGAAAGCAATGAGAACTTATAGTTGAGAAAAATGCATAAAGGATAGGGTCCACACTGCAAAGAAACAAGACAACTAGAATCGCTAGATGAATAGTTTTTACACCAAGATTTGAAATTATTTCCGAACTCATTTAAAAGCTTAAATAGTTATTTCACGTGTATGTTAAATTTATTGTTGGATAGAAATTTAAAAAAAATTGATATGTGCATAACTTTCATAAATAGATAGCAATAAGACTTCAATTAAGAATTTAGGTCTGTTATGATACTACGTTGAATTACCTTTTCTGAAAGCATACATCATTAATGATGATGCCATATGCCTAACTATTTAATCTTATCTATTTGAATTTACTACGCTGAATTACCTTTTCTGAAAGCATAAATCGTTAATGATGATGCCATATGCCTAACCTCCAATTAATGAAATCACGGAGCATAAATTTCTATCAATCTATGATACCGGGAGTAATGAACAAGCTTTATATCTCATATCCCCCATCGTATTCCTAATGATTATATATCATGTAAAGTGTTTTATTAGCTCATGGTTACACCCGCAATCACTATCCTGATCAAACTTCATCAATGTCTACTCATAATTCATCTCACAAAAATATAGAGATACAAGACATTTTTATTATATTTTCGAACGTGATAACTCTTCTAAAGTAAAAGGTCGATAGGAATCAATACGGAGCATGTTTGGGTGGACTTAAAAGTTTTTCTCTCCCCTTCAAAATAAGCTTATAAGCCCACTCTTCTATTGAGCGACGACGTGATTCTATGAATGATAATTCCTTTTCTATAAAAGTTCTTAAATGAGATTTTTGAACAAGGGAGGAACGTAAGCACCGTCAGGTGTGAAATAATCTCGTATTAAGAACATATTTGATATGCAATGTATAAATAATTAGACAATTAAAATTTCAATTTTTTATTTTCATTTAATACAGTCAAGTCAAGTCAAGTCAAGTCAAGTAGCGTACAACCCGTTCAACGAAATTCTAATCGTTACAAAACTGTTCCCAAACATCAATTCTATTCATACATTCTTGAAAACTTACAACTTTAATCTACCTTTTAACTACGTGATCCTTAGCCTCCCTATTTGACCCTCATTTCTTTAAATTTATTTTTTCTCAAAAATATTTTCAACTACATATGTCATTGGATACAACTTTAATCAATTTTCAATTACAAATCTGGTCAACTTTTAACAAAATCCACTAAAAATATAATTTTTATCAATGGCAAACATTGGCTTAAAAATTCACTACTCGTAAATACTTAAAAGCTTAGCCAATCACCAAGAAAATTCAGCTGTAATTTGTTTTTTGGATTGCCCGCAGGTGGCCCCCCAATAGGGGGTGCCATTTGTCCATCATGGACATTGTTGTGGATTTTGCTACATACAAATAGCATAACCCTTGTTTTTTTCCCTTTCATTTCCCCTTCTTCTTATCTTTTTGAGAGGTGGGGATGGGAGTGGGGTGAGGTAGGTAAGAAAGAGTTGAAGTGATGTGATAGATATTAAGAACTTTGAGAAGTGAAATCAGAGAGTAGTAAAGTACAGTAATGTAGTATTTGTAGGCAACAAGCAGAATCAGCAGCAGCAGCAGTAGGGTAGGAGCTTGCAGCGCTGTTACATTGGATTTGTCTCTTTCTTCCTATGTAAAGTCCCTTTCACTCAAATTTACCCCCCATCCCTCCCACCCCCCACCCCTTCTCTTCTCATTTGGAAACTCTCTCTACCATAAGTTTTAATGATGTAATCCGAGCATCCGAGGTAACAAATCTAGTTAATGAGATATATGGGAGACATCTGGAGACTTTATATTTTCAATTCATCGTATCAAGCATGCAATTAGATACACGACCAATTCGTTATTTATTTTTTCTACTCTCATGGCTCATGGACGAAGTTAAGAATAACGTTTAGTGGGAGTTTTGATTCTTTAATACATGAAAAATATCTTCTCAGTCTCACACTCGATCAACTATTTGAAGCTCCATAATTGTGTTTACTAAACCTCATAACTCGATCATTGTACAGTTCGATCTAGTATATTGAAGATGCCATTATATTTTATTAGACTAGAAAATTGCAACTCGTGTTTTTTATTTATGCCTTCTATGAGAGTGGAGAATAAGTATTCTGGCACTTTTAGAATGGTGAGTTATTGTACAGATGATCATTAAAGTTTTGAGTTAAATTTAAAATTGTTCCTTATGATAATTCTTTTACCTATTTAGTCACTAAACTTGGATATTATCACATAATTGGTCCCTTTGCCAGCATGAAATAATGTCATATTTGATGTAGTAATTGCGTCTACTGACATCTTTTATACCAACCATTCCTTCCCACTGACATCTTGTTTGAGCTTTGTCGTGACATCTTTATTTTTTATTACATGTGGAAAACATGAATAGATTAAGGGAGAAAGTCAATATTTTTTGGATAATGCTAAGTGTACATAAAGATTGATCCATAGTGGTGTCCATACACTCACATGGGGTGGGGGCCACTCGAATCGGGAGTGAATTTCTAACAGAGTAGTCAATTATGTAACGAAATTAACTTTATTGACTAAAATATATTTAAAAAATAATTTAAAGACAAATTTAAAATTGTAGCGATTATTTGTAAAATTAACTCAAGAATGGTACATGGTGGTCTGTACAATGGATATTAAGGCATATCATCTAAGTAGATGGCAAAAGTTATATGAACAAGATTTTCCTTACAGACGTGTTTTTTTTCAACTTTCAATGAATTATTGCCAAGTGTTATCTGTAAAACAATTTTGTGAAAAAATTATGTAGCATGATTCAAGGTAGATTGTACATCAAGGAACATTTTGATGTTCTTATCAAAGCACGAAAAGTTATGTTTTGTGAAGAGATTGCTTTCAACTTTATTTTAGGGATTTGTTGCCTAATTTAGTTCATTCTAATGCCTTGATAGAGATACAATGTGCCTTTTATAGACTTGTACATTGAGTTGGTATTGAAAAATAATGATTTTTTGTTAAATACTACAAAATTACAACTTTATCTAGCACTTAAAAGAATAATCCGACAAATACAATCCTTGTAATTTTTTTACGTGTGCGTAATTTTATACGGTGTATTAAAAATTGCTATAATGTATGTGTTTTTTTACACCATACGTTGATCTTATTACAAGTTAGTATCCTCGCAGCAATGCGCGAAAAAACTCACCACATCTGTTCATTACTATTCACCTGTGGTACTTTCAGAACAAATCGAGCGACATCACCAACAATTTATGAATGTACCAATTTTAAAAAACAATAAAATAGAAAAATATTCCAAGAAAATGACAAATAGTGGATCGAAATTTGGAAAATGAAACTGAAAAGCATAAAGAAATTTTTAAAACATGTTTAATGACAACTTTTGAATGGGATGTTCTAAATAATTCATAAAATAACTATTTTTCAGTTAGTCAAAGAAAAATATATGTAATTCTTATTATAACATCGATGGGTAAATGAAATTTTGAGAGGAAAAAAAATCGTTTTTAGACAAAAATAAATGGCAAAAGATTGATTTCAATTTGAGGAAATTACACTCTCACAGATTTTTAAGTTTCCGTTTTCAAAAATACAAAATCAACTTTAATAATACATAAATCAGGTTTTAATTAATAATTTTTATTTAAACCAATCCTACACAATTTCAAACCCTAATAATAAATGATTTTCTCCGGACTGGAGTGCTCAGAGATGCGAGTTTCAAGGCTGGTGATAATAGCTCATCTTCAGTGGGGCAATGTCGAGCGAGCCTGTAGCCACCTCTTCTGGACCTCCGGTGGTGGAAGGTGACGGTCCTGCTAAATATTTTGGGATTGTGAGACGCGGATCGGTAGCGACCCACCTTACGACCACCACAATCGCCGCCCTAACAAAACCTGGAGCTTCCACAAAGACCCTTCCTTCGCCTCCAACGCCTCTCTTCTCCCTCAAATCGTTGGACCACCACGACGATGTCGAGTTGCAGCAATACAAATCTGTGTTTTTTTTTTTTGAGTGGTGACCACCACGACGCGGCTGCAACGATCTAGATCTGTGGTGGGCTGTGTTGCAATGGAGTGTGGTTGCAGTGTGACGGTTGATAGTTGAGTGGTGCTATGTAGTTTGTGTGGTGATGTTGTGGTAATGAGGTCGTTTTCTAGTGGTGGTGGTGGTGAGGTCATTTTCTAGTGGTGATGGTGATGTCATTTTCATTGGGTGGTGGTGGTTTCTGTGGTGTTGATGT